TGCCTCCTCCCCTTGTCTCTCTCTTCTCTCTGCCAGGCCGCAGCCCACCGCTCTTTCGGGCTCTCTCCTTGCCGTGCCGATGGGTAACGAGCTGCTTCTGCTTCCCTGTCCTTCCTCCTCTTCCTCCTCCTCCTCCTCCTGGCTCTGTCTCTAGCCCCCCTGGAGGCCACGAGGCCAGAGGTGCGTGGGGCGGGGGGTGCTGGGGCGCACGATGGAGGGGAGGCTGAGGGGACTGGGCTTGCTTGGTGTGGAGAGGGGCAGGGGGGTGGGCTAGTTGTGACCTCCTGAGGTCCCTTCCACCCTCGTTGCCTGTGACACTTCACTTCTTGCTCATGCTCCATGGCAGTGTGGGGTTCAGCCTTGCCGTGCAGCCCTTCACGTACCGCAGACTGGAGGGCAGGGTAGGGAGGGCGCGGGGATGGCTTTATTGAGAGGGTCTGGAGGAGCACAGAGAAGGCCACTTGTCAGAGAAGTGCCCACAGCTCCGTGACGCTTGACAGCGTACTCCAACCTATACCCCTGACGCTTGACAAAGCGTTTTACGGGTTGCTAATGTAATAACATTGCTTCTCTGCATGTTGGTTCATGATGCAAGCTGCTTTGCCTAAAGTCTTTCAGCTCCACTGTCGACAGTGACTCTATTTAAGTGCGTAATTTGTGACTGAAGCAATGGAGGGGAAACAGCTCTCAAAGGACTTGGGCTAGAGGCCTTGAAATTGTCCTGAGTTAGTTTCAGGGCTGCTGTTCCTGGAGTACAGGTACTGACTGAGATGGGTTGGAGCTGGGCTGTTCTCGGTGGTGGCAGACAACAGAACAAGGAGCAACAGTCTCAAGTTGCAGCGAGGGAAGTTTATTTCGGATGTTAGGAGGAATTTTCTCACCTGGAGGATAGTAAAACACTGGAACAGGTTACCCAGAGAGGTTGTGAAGTTTCCATGCTTTGAGGTTTTTAAGACCTGGCTAGGCAAAGCCTTGACTGGGATGATGTAGTTGGGGCTGGTCCTGCTTTGAGTAGGGGGTTGGACTAGATGTGACCTCTGGAGGTCCCTTCCAGCCCTCCCAACCCTCATTCAAACTACAGACAGAATGACAGAGAATAAGCCCATAATGTTTCTTCTTGCCACTTCACCCCTGGTCCTGAGGCTCTGCACTTTAGAGTACATTGTCTAGGATATCTTAGTGTGTAATATTCATGCTGCTGTTTTTTATGTTAAGTGCCATCTCGTCTTCAGAAATGAAGTGAGCTGAATGAATAGGACCAGCTTTGCTATCTTAATCTACTGCACATTGGGTTTTGGGAAGACATTGCTGTGAGTTCATGTAGTTGATTAATGTTTCTGGTCTTTTCTTCTCAAAGACTAGAAATATTTAAATGAAAGCTTAGATTTGGAAGTAGAGTGGCTTGGAGCATTGGGGAGCTGGGAGAAAGTAAAGATAGGAGTGCTGAAGAAGAAAAATCCCAGAAAAATAGTTTCTGGGATCCCTCTGCTCAGCAGCCATTGGCTCTCATGAGACTTGCTCACTCTACAAATAGGAGTTTATCTCCTAACTGTTGGTCCTGCCTGTCAAACTGGGTGTGTGAATATGTGGCCAGTAAAAAAAAGACTGTGCGTATTTGATTAAGCCAAGAGCTACCCCTAAATGTAAAATATAATCCCATGTGTTGGTATTCTTGCACAGCTGCTTTCCCTATAAGCTGACAGCATTACATGGCTGTTCTTTTGGGGCAGAGGCTCCATTTCCCGGATCCTCTTTGTTACATTGCACCACTTGAGAAAAATCCCTCCAGAAGGGGAAGTGAGGAAACTGCAGTCTGTAATTTACAAGAAGGGAGGATCAGCTAGCTTAATGATTGCAAAATGTTTTGAAGATGACAGCTGTATATTAAGCTACGCATGCGTATTCAAGTGTAATCATGGCCTGGAAGGTAGCAGTTCATCCTGATTTGAGTTTCCATGGATTAAATGGTCTAATTGGTAGTAAAACATGCAGGAATTTAGAGCAGGAGTGTGACAGGTGTGGAGTGGGCAAGTTGAAGCAAGAAGTTCTTTAAAAAAGAGTGTTTTTAATTGCAATAACTGTCCAGCTGTATTGAATACCCATATATCAGGAATGTCAAACTCACCTGATGCCCCAGGCTAGATCCTGACCATGGGACTCCTTGGAAGCTAGATCCACAGGCCATACGTTTGATACCCCTGCTGTTTAAATCTCTGTATAAATCTCGAAAAGTGGAACAGGTTGCACAGGGAACAGCAAAACCGAAGCCTGTCCCTGCTGTCATCAGAATGAGTTGCTATGGAGATAGATGGGCACAAAGAATTGATCTTATAGCCAGTGAACAGGTATAAGTGAAATATTAATAAGGTCTCGTATTGAAGCACTCTGAGAAGTAGTCTTAAAATGGAAGAGAAATACAGAAAATTACATGGCAGAGTTCTTTCTAAGTAGAAAGCCCTGGAATGCGCTTGAAGGGGTCTTATGAACATGAGAGCTTGTTCATAACTTGTGAATTGATGCCTGATTGTATAAAGTTAAAGCAGTCCATTATCATAAGCATAATTCAAGCAAGTGTGTTTTTAAGTAGGAATATCACTATTGCTTTAGATTTTTATCCAGAATTGTGTGAAATGTTTTATTCCCTCCTTACCCCCTTCCTCTCTCTCCCAATAATTTTGATAACTTGGATTTTAAAACCTAGTTGCTGACTCAAGCAGAAGTGGCATGCGGGCTCCTTGAGCAAACCTGGTCTATGCATCGGAAGGGGGCAAAGCCTGGTAACATTTAAGTTGCTGTCTGTGAACAAGCCATCTGTGCTTGCTTGTCAGACTGTGTGGTTTGTCAAGGAGAGAAATCAAGAAGCTCTAGGACCACTATAGAACTGCTTGGCCTCCTTCCTGGGAGAGGTGGCTCTTGGTTCTGGCCAGAAGGCTGTCTTTGTTCAGTCAGGGTGAGGTGTATATTGGGAGGCCGTAGTTTCACACCCCAAACTGTAAGTGGTGTGAACAAGTTTTAAGACAAACCAAGGTTTTCAAAAGCCTTAGAAGGCTGTTAGAGATTTTAAATATCGATTTGGCTTATTTACATGGATGCACAATGCAATAGTATACTTGATAACTGCTGTATTGGTAACTTGATCAGCTGTTGAGAGTTTCAAATTGCAGGTTGCATGTGATGAAGTACTTCAAGAAGATCAGGGGAAGAGAGGAGTGTAGTCTGAGGAATGTTGCCTCAATTCCAGTTCTGCTTGTGTCTCTTTGAACCTGAGGGGAAAGCGGACATACTCTTCCTCTTTCCACCCGCAGATGAAGGCAGAAAATTCATTTCTTCAGTCACCTTAAAGTACTGGTTCTGCATGTCCTGCATTATTCAGTGAAACAGGAGCCACCCTTCTCTTTAACTGCCTAGTCAAGTAATGTGACTGCCATTGAACTGCCTAAATCGCCTATAATGCGCCTGCAAACATTGTGTTAAATAACCTTTATAGGGAATATCACTTGCATTGGAGGTAAGCAGTGTACTAATTCTTCTTTGTCAAGCTGAAAGCTTCCTTGTCATCAGGTTGCTGGCTTTCTTATTTGGAAGAAATGGCTATATTTATTAAAATAACCATTATTTTCATTAGTTTGCTTCCTTGTAATTGAATCCAGAGCATATGTAATTTTGTTACTGAGTGCTGACATGTGCATAGTCAGTTGAGTAATTCCTGTGGGGGAGGTAAGTACAGGTTAGTTTGAAATATTGCACTTGAATGCTGAAAGTAATTAGATTGAAGCAGAATAATTCTTCTGAGAAACTATGGCAGTAGCTAAGTCAATACCAGTTACATTCCTTGAATGCTTAGTTGTTTTTCATAGACGGAGGAAAATATTTGTACAAGACCCTTTTATTAAATGGACTGTGACAGGTGCCCAGGCCAAGCTTGTCCCTTTCCTGGTTCCTAGTATCCCTGATTAAGAGCTGTCTGTGATCTGAATGCAATTGCAGTTCATAAAAATGCAGTCTTGGGGGAATAGTATTGAAGACTTGTTCTGCTTTCTGGATGTCATATTCCTGTAGGATGGGGTTCTATTTCCACTAGAGTCGTTTTTTTAGGATTTGGTTGTTAAAATGCCTGTAGACTGGTATGGTATCCAGGTTGTAGCTGTATTGGTCTAGAGGAAAAAGCAATTGGGGCTTGTAATAGAGGTGATAGCTTTTATTAGACCAACAAGATTTTTGCAAAAAAAATGTCTTTCATTGCAAGCTTTTGGGCACAAACAGCCTTCTTCAGGTTGGCATGCAGACTGGTATGTGCACTCAAGCTCCTTCCGATAACCCGGGCTTCCCTGCCTGACACTGTTATCATACATAAATATTGTCACTGGGTTTTGTAGCCTCCTCCAACTCTACATCTCTTCCTAAGCAGTTCTGAATTTCTAGGCATCAGGATTTTAAATAACTTGGTGTTTTAATGTTCTATTTCTCTTCAGTGCGTTTCTTTATAGGGGCCTTCTTGCACATATTGCAGAGGGGAAACCTGCTATCTTGTCAGCTCTTTGAACTGGCTGTTGAACAAGCCACCTGGACTCATTATTACTGCTCTTTGCCAGTATGTGCCCACACTAGGAGGACAAAACCAGGCAGAGGTGTGTTTGTATGTTTGAAGCTGGCAATCTCTGCCTGTGGTGTAGTTAAGATAATTCACTAGCTGATATAAGTAGAAAAGCCCAGGGCTCTTAAAATCAACCTTTTCTATCAGTGCTGTGGAGTCAGCAGGTCTAGATCTCCTGCCTCAGTGAATAGAGTCAATAAATATCTACGCTTGTACCAAGGGGAGTGAAATGTCCTCTGCTAGGACACCTTGGAGTGAGCACCAGGTAGTTGACTAGCCTGCTGCAGCTCAGGTGCTTGGATTGCTAGGGTCCCTCCTAGTGAAGCTGGTGTCCTGGGCAGCCAAGAGGAGCATCTGTGAAGCCAGGCAGAGGTCATGCAGCCCAGATGGTAGCTTAGTTATTCCAAGAGAGAATTTTGCAGAGCATATTTGCTCTAATTGGTAGTAAAATGCAGAAAAGCTGTGCAGTCCCACCGCTGAGTGGAAGTGCCGACGACGATTTCCCTTTCCCCTAAAGTTTTTGTGTGTAAATGCTGCAGGGGAATGATCCCTCCTGACTCGGTTGGTTCACTGTTTGCATGAGTGCAGAATTTGGAATGAATTCAGACTGTTTTGACTGACTTGGGAAATATTTTATTAACCATAATCCTTTGTGATTTCTTCAGGGTAGCAGTAGTAGGCCTGTATCGCATCCCATTTGGGTTCAGTGGGCACGTCTACACGTTCATTAATGCACCGTAATTACAGTGCATTAAGTTTAGTACCTGTAATAACAGGTTAATTTGAAGGGATATGCTTGTACCTAGATTTGAACATGTTGTACAGAACATAGCATAACAATACTATCTTTCACTTTCTCATTGAACAAGTGACTTATGGCCATGTCAAGGGCATGGCTTCCCTTATGCCCCAACAAATGATTGGATCCTTGTCTTAATTGTTCATTAACTTCCAGGGTAGAGCCTGGTCTCCTTCTTCTTGCTGCTGCATTTGCTTTGGTTTGCCTAAATACAACTGCCTACATCTTGTGGCTTTCCTCATGCTGCAAACTCACATCCTAAAATAGTTTTGTGGAACAAGAATAGGTTTCTGAACCTAGATTTAAAACGTGTTGATTGTTTTTGCAGGTGGTATAAACTTCATTCCAAACCAGGGAAGAAGGAAAAAGAGAGAGGCGAGATTGAGGTGGATATCCAGTTCATGAGGAGCAATTTGACAGCCAGCATGTTTGATTTGTCTATGAAGGATAAGTCTCGGTCTACATTTGGCAAATTGAAAGACAAGTTGAAGGGAAAGCGGAGCAGCGGACTGTCAGACACAGTATCTGCCATTGTTCCTAGCATAACACACTCAATAGCTGACAGTGAGGATGAGTCAGCTGAGAAAGAGAAGAAGAAATTTAAGATCAAAACCCTGTTTTCCAAGCCTGGCTTACAGAAGAGCTCCCTCTCCCAGTCCATGTCTGCTCTACCTGCAGTCCAGCCAGTCACAGAGAAAGTGAAGCTTAGACCAGGTGACTTTAAGTCTAGTTGGTATGACAACGACGACGATGAGGAGGACGAGAAAACACTTACCCCAGTCTCAGAAAGTAAGTATTGCCTCCTCCAGGAGTAACTGCTTGTCAAGTCTTTATTTACAGGATTGGTTAAATTTGTGGAGGAGTCTTTTCAGAATACTAGGTGAGCTTTTCTGGCTTTAGGAAAGAGAAACTGTCTTCAGTTGTCTGAGAGCTTTGACTGAAGAAAGCAGTAAAGCTTTGCTTGCTGCATGATATTTTACATGGTTGAGCAGATGCAGGTTTCCTTTGGATAAGACTTTTTCATTCATTCATTTTTTTAAATGAATAATTTGGTTCCTGTGTTGTGAATGATTGCACGTCCACTGAGAGCCCCTGGAAAGAACACGATCATCCATAAAGAATCCGGCTGGAGCTGGGTTGGAAAGAGCGACACTTATTTTACCTTCTCATCTTCTCTTCTTGTGGCTCTCAAATGCCTGCTGAGCCAAAAGTTCTGGATCTGGATGATTGAAAGAGTGACACTTATTTTACCTTCTCATCTTCTCTTCTTGTGGCTCTCAAATGCCTGCTGAGCCAAAAGTTCTGGATCTGGATGATTAGAGAACAGGACTATCTAATAGAACTTGCTCTTTCTGTTGCGAGTAGCCCGTTGGTAGGGGGTTTTGAGCACTGTAGCTGTAATACTGAGCATTATAGGAAGCTTTTTTTAATAACCTGAATGTCTAATATATTGCAGAGAACTTTGATGGCAAAGCTGAAGATACAACACTTCATCCTCCTGCCATCACGGCTTATAAGAAAACGGCAAGTGTGGATAAGCAGCTAAACCAAGCAGCTTCCAGCAGCACCAAGAAAGAAGGACTGTCTTTATTTGGTGGCCTTAAGTCCAAAAACGATCCCGTCTCCCGCTCAAATGTGTGTATCAATGGCAGTCACGTTTACATGGAGGAATGTGAAGCCATGCCAAAAGACAGCACTCCATCCTCATCCCCTTCCCCTCAGACCTTCAGGAAGAAACATCTGTATGCGTCTGAAGAGAACTTGTCTTCCAAATCTGTTAAGGGGCCTGAGGAATTGGAAAAAACTAACAGAGCTTTATCTGGGTCTTCATCTTTGGAAACCTTTAAATCTTTGACATTACCATCCTACAAATTGCTTAGTGGTGGAGACTCTATAGAAAGCAGTGTTCCTTCAAGTGCTGACAGCACAAAAGAGACCAAGAAACCTGCCTTGTTGTCTCTGGTTACAGGAAAAAAGGAATTGGGGAAAAACACTGATGTAGAAAAACTTACAGACGTAACTGTGAAGGAGAAAGATGTCAAAGGTCCTGAAAACCAGAAGAACGAGAGCAAGGCCAAGCCTATAGAAGTCCTGACAGCCCTGCCCAGAGAGAGCCCTTCAGAAAGCAGCAGCACAGCATACGTTCCCAGAAACAAGCAGTCGCTCAACCCTTTTGGCGAAGAACAGAAACCCGAAAAGCCTGTAGCCTCTGCGAGGACAAACCAAACCAAAGTGGTTAAGCCCAGGTCAGTCTCTTTTTGCTGTTTCTAATGTTGATATAAATGAACACACCAGTCACACGTTGTGACTGGACCACTTCCTGCCACGAGGCATTCTGGTAGCTGTTGTGTGTGTGTGGTATAGCAGCCCTCTACAGCATCTCTTGTGGTGGACTTGTTTTGTCACCAGGGGCAAATTTAACCAGCCACATAGTAAATATTTGACTTGCATTCTCGTTATGAACACAAGGAGTGACCTTGATAGTCTCTATTAGTGAGGCTGCAGTAAAGAAAGCAATTCTGCTTTTTCGGTGCATTTAGCGCACTAAGCTGCTTGCATAGTGTGCGGAGATAATTCCATGTTTCTTTAACCTGGAAAGCCAGTTGCTTACCATCTGTTCGATATGGAAATGTGCCGGGGTAGGGTCTGGAATGCCACTTTTAATCCATCTTTTTGCTCTTTCCCGTTGCCCCTGCTTTGTCCTCCAAAAAGGCTAATCTTGGAACACATCTGCTTTTGGCACAATTGAAATATGGGCATTGCCATAGCGTTCTTATTTTGCATGTGACAAACTGCAGCAGGGAATTCTTTGCTGTTGCAATAATACAGGAGTGGGTACAAGCATTTAAACATGGAGGAAGTGACTTCAAGCCTACTGCATTAAACATCTTGCAGTTATAAACATCATTAGTAGACTGCCCATTTTGTGAAATCTTCCTGTAAGTCTTGTGTTCACCACTCACACTTTGCATCTGCAACTGACATGCAAGTTTTTTGTCCCTTTTTGCAGACTGGGCGTGTCTTCAGAGGATGAAACCGAAGCCACGCTTGCTACTTCTGCACCCGATTGCCTTCCTGCTTTCACTGCTGCACATCATGCCAGTAGTACCAATAATCCTTTCGCTTCCAAAATGGGACAGAATTTCAGTGCACAAACCTCTGAAAGCATTAGTAGCCCTCTTGTATCCCTTTCTGCTCTGCAGTCTAGTGGCAAAAACCCTTTCACTCCTAACTGGGGCCAGGAGTCCAAAGCACAGGACTCCCCAAGTTCTGCTAATTCTTCTCATCCTTTTTCAGCTTCTGTTCCCAAGTCGGTTCTCTCTGCACCTCTTACTAAAAATGACAATAACGCTTTCACTTTCAAAGGGGGACAGGACTCCCAAAAAGACGACTTTGGAAGGTCTTGCAGTCCTCCCTTGTATTTCTCTCATCCTGCTCCTGCTGTTTTGGTGCATGGTTCTTCCTCTCTCCCCTCTGTTTATCATGCTAACGACAATAACCCTTTTACCTCTGAAGCAGGACAGGAATTGGAAGCAGCTACTTCTCCTGCTTCTCCCTTCCCCCCTTGTGCAGCCTCTAGCATGCGCTGTTCTACAGTGGAGCATCTTGCTAGCTCAGAGTGCTCTTCTGTTTCTTCAGACAAGCCACAGAACGAGTCTGTAGCTGGTAATGCAAATACCGTGCCAAAATCTTTAGGGTTGCCGTCAGACAGTTCTGTATCTCAGTATGAAAGAGTGGAGGCAACTCCAAGGAAACAAGCTGGTGGTAAAGGGGTGCAAATAGTATCAGCCTTAAAAAAAAATAACAAAGGAAAGAAAAAATCTTTGACCTTCAGCTTAGATCTGGAAGATACTTGTGCAGGGAACAGTGATGAGGATTCAGATAGTGTGCGCCCTGATCAATGTGAAGAAGTGACTGCTACAGGTGAAATAGTAACAGCCGAGAGGGCAGGATTTGCCTCTGCGCGTAATACTGTGCGTGTCCTTTCACCTGAACCCTGTGATGAGCAGGTGAATTCTCATCAAAACAGTAAAAGGTCTGTTTGTGGTGACATGGAAACTGGCAATGCAAGTGCTGAAACCTGTATGGGAGAGAGCAAAGAATTTACTTCTCTCCCCAAATCAAACTCTAACCTTTCATCTGGGAATGCTGTAGCACAGGCATCCTCTGCTACGAGTAAAATAAATGAGGAGCTAGAGACAGTTAGTGAAGAGAAAAGGATCTGGTTCCTCGGCATGGGAGAACAGAAGCCCATATTCAAATCTGTGGCATCCCCTGTTGCTGAAGGAGACTTGTCAGATCAAGCATTGCCACCTAAACCAACCCCAAGGGTTCGCACATTGCTCTCGATGGAAGCTGGCAAGGCAAGGGATGTCTCCGAGCTCAGTCCTGTCTTTGTCACGCCAAAGCCAGCGCCGAGGAATGCTGCGAGAGAACCTAAGTGTGCCTCTGATTCTCAGCCTAGCATAGCAAAAGAGAAAGAGATGCTGTCTTCTGAGAGGACAAAGATGGCATCTGGAGATGTATTGTGTAGGGAGAGGCCCTCTGAGAACCTGCTAAGTGAGAGTTCATTAAAAACTGCTGCAACTTCAGCTGTGTTTTCTCTTGAAGGAGTGGCTAGCAATGATGAATGCCTAAAATGCAGCCCTGACCAGCACGATATGTCACTGTTGGACCTTAAGTCTGCTGTTCCTGTTCTTGGAGATGGCAGTGCGAAACCTCTTGGTCTTCCAGTTATTCCAGAAGTGGGCTCGGACGATGAGCAGCTGGATGACAACCAAAAGGGCAGTGACGTGTCTGCACCTGGCAGCAGTCTACCAAAGACTGAAAGTGATCCATTGCAATTCACAGAGGAAATAAAGCAGAGTTCAAGTACAAACTCTTTTGCTGAGAAAATACCTAGAGTGCTTCACAAGACAGAAGAGAACCCTGAGGATACTGGTGAATCTGTGGAATCATCCAGACTAACTTCAGTCGACATCTTTTGTGCAAATAGCAAGGCAGGTTTAGATGCAGAGGTTTCTTATTCCAAAAAGTGTGGCTGTGACTTTGAGGAAGGTGGTAGTATTAACACTGAGGAAGGAGCAGGTGGTAATGTTTTGAAGGCCCCCGTTTCTCCTCGCTCTTTATCCAGTTCTTCCCAGCCTTTGTCTAATTCTCAATCTCTCCAATCTGGCACTTGCAACAGTAATAAAGCAGAAACTCCAAGGAAGCCAACAGCAGAGGGCTTCGATGATAAAGCAGAAAGTGCTGGCAAGAAGAAGCTGCTTCAGGCATGGGTTTCACCCTCTGAAACACATCCCAATCAAACACAGCGGAGCGGTGGAGCTGTGTTTACTAAGCACAGGTGAGCGATTATGGAGATGCACACATAATGCTGTGACAGTCCCCTTGTGTAAAAGGCTTACTCTTTGGAGCAGAGACCTGGGTTTTCTAGCTTCAGGCACTTTTTATTTTTTTTTTTAGAATGATATGGAAGGTTAGAGTCTAACCTGTAACCAATGGGTACTGTCAGACTCCTATGTCCTAGTATAAGGCTGTCACCACTACAACTCCTACTGAAGAAACTGAGGTGGCTCCAAACAAATCTATGCTCATACATGAGGATGGACCCCGACTTTTTAGCCCTAACCTCTGTAAGTGCTGTTGTTTCATGGCAGCTCAGGGAAATCTGTGATCATTTGTTATGTGAGTGTTATGCTTTAATGAAAGTTCATTTTGCATACCTAATAATGTACTGCAGTCAGCAGGTGGCTGTGGCTATGGGTCAGTTGTAGTGAGTTCCTTGGGAATGAGAAAGCGGTTCAAGGCAGCCTGGGAAGTGAGCTGCTCACTTCGCAGGTAGAGCAAGGATTCCTAAGCCTTAAAATGCACTGCAGCTTCATGTAGTCTACAAGTCTGCCTCTTTGGTGTCTAACATAGCAGGAGCTGTTCAGACTCCTGCTAACAGATGTCCTGGTGTAGTCTGATGTTTTGCTTCTCTGTTCATTGTGTAACCTCTAATGCAAACTTTACATTTTTATAGGTAACACTGCATGAGCATTACTGTTCCAAAACTTAGTGAAAGATAAATGGGTAATATGCATTCACTTTCAAAGCTGCCCCTACATACTGAATCTAGTGATCCTAATATTACAGCTTGATCTCTTCTACTTGTGCCTTACAGTAGAATAAGTCAGTTTCCCAAATGTATAGCAGAAGGCATCACTTGGCCAAAATAAGTATTGGATATTTAGATTTCTCTGAAGATCTTGGGATGAGAAATGAAAGAATGGCATCTTTTCATAGTGTAAAAAGATGAAAGTAAGTGTTTCTATAATTTGAGCATCTTGTAACACAGGTTTTGTGTTGTGTGTTAGTAATCTTCTGAAGCCATTGTTTCCCTTAATGTTTGTTGCATTTAAGACAAAAGGCACCAAATAAACAATGTATAACAAGTAGAAAACAGTAGCTTATGATAGAGCAGCTTTTATTGAAAGGGACTCCCATCTGATCTCAAGAGACAAGATGCACACTGAGAAACTTTCATATTCCACCTTGCTAAATTTTGGAACCTGTTGGATCCTTTCCTCGGGCTAGAATCTGCACAAGGTCAGCGTGGTGAACTGCATAAATAAGTTGTGTGACTTTTTGTTTCAGACCTCATCCTGTCAAGCCAATGAACACCACACCTAAAAGCTTCAGCATCACCAGTAGTGTGACTGAAAAACGCACCGAGATCAACCCAAAGGTATGAAAAAATGAGCTGGGGGCTTAACTTTGTAACTCTAAGACAGTTTGGAATTGACAACTCCACAGTAATGGCTTTTGGCCCTGTGAAATACAGGTTCAAAGCCTCTTCTCCTTGGACCTTACTGCAGGTGAAATAACATCTTTTTTCCAGTTCCTGTGATCATGGCAACAAATCGAGTAACTTTGGTTCTTATTTAGGGCTAATAAATTGAAGCCAGATGGAGGTCCCAGCTCCTAAGAGGGAGCTGGGCACAGGGCTGTACCGAGAGGAGCTCTGTGGCTTTCTGTGGGATGGATGGCTAGAGTGGCTGCATGCCAAGAGGTCGTCGGTTGGTGACCTGGTGCAGAAGTGACACATGAGCCTGGCACACAGTCCTTGCTGTGACAGTATGAGGAAGCAAGGGGCTTGGGGCGATAGGTCTGCACGAAGAGGAGTTCGTTTAACCAATGAACCTTTTCCTTCTGTTTTTCTACATAATGAGATTATTAGTTGTGGAATGCAAAGAGGTTAGTGGAGGTAGTGGGTAGATTGTAATGAGCCAAAAAGCTATAGTCTGTTTTAGCTCACGATGTTGAGTATGCAGCGAGGTTAGGAATTTGGTGTATGGGCAGTATCCTTTTAGGGTCGGGAGGGCAGGAGGAGCAGCGCTTCTGTGAAAAGTGTTTGCCTGCTGGTGATCGCTTCTGTCACTTCTCTGTGTGAGGTCACTTTGGAGTCTAACGGTTTAATTTCACTGGGCACATCTACACGAAACGCTACCGTGCAGTAACTTATTGCTACCACGCAGTAGCGTTGTCGGGCACTAACTGTGACACGACACTACTGCACAGTAGTAACCAGCTACTAAACAGTAGCTCACTGTGTAGCTAGTAGTTACTGTGCAGTGGTGTCGGAAAAAAATCATGTGGGGACAGTACTGCTCTCCTTACTGCGAGTCCATCGCTCATGTAGACACAGCCACTTTGTAGTTTCCACGAGGGCGTGGAATGAGAGGTATCATGTTCCATGGTAGATGTGTAGGATCCATGGATTACAGTATACTGTAATAACTTGTGACAGCCGGTACACCGTGTTGGAAACCACCCTGCCTGGAATGTTGAAGAACGAGATAGTTCAGTAGTCTTGTCATGTTAGCTTTACAATGCTCATTTCTGTATTGACCTGTCCTTCTCTCCTGAAGAAATATGATCCTTCAGACCCTGCTTATGCCTATGCTCAACTGACGCACGACGAGCTGATCCAGCTGGTCTTGAAACAGAAGAATGTGATTACCAAGAGAGATCTCCAGGTCCGGGAATTGGAGGACTACATTGACAACCTGCTTGTCAGGGTCATGGAAGAAACCCCCAACATTCTTCGGGTTTCGTCTCAAATAAACAAAAAGGCTGGGAGAATGTGAGGTCTCAGTCAGCGAGCCTGAATAAAGGCTTGTGTTCACTAAACTCCATATGTAAATAACATGAGGTAGCTGCAACTCTATGGGCTACCTACAAAATTACTTTCTTTCCTGTGTCTCTGCCAAAAGCAGATATTATTTACCTGGGAACTGGTTCGTAATTACAAACAGGTCTTCAATGTGTGATCCAAAACTGAAATAATCAGGCAACCTGTGCTTTTTGACATGCTGTCAATATTAGACCACTGCCTGCATGGCATTTTTAAGAAAACTAGTCCAAGACCAGATGTGTAAACCTTCATGTGAAGGATTTTTAGGGGAACTTTTTTTTTTTCTTTTCTTTTCCTGACACTGGTTCCAGCCTATTGCGGTTTTTAAGGGGTGGTGTGTAAACTAGCTGCTTCTCAGCAGCTTTTGGTTGGACAATGGTTTTTATTTTAGGCCTTAAGTTGTAGTGCAATATAAACCACCATGTACACTAATGCTTCAAGGATCTTATTTTGTTCGAAGAGCTACGTTTGAAGGTGTTCTTTCCAGGCAGTAGCTGGGTACACTATATGGTACTGTTTCTAAAAATATCATTGCGCCCCACCCCCCCCCCCCCCCCCCCCCCCCCCCAAACAAAACAAAAAACAAAACCTGCTGTAAAATGGGATGTTGTTTAAATCTGCTTGAAGATGGAGTTTTACTACCTGGTTGTCGGCATCTGTTTTCATAAGGGGGGGATGTAGTTCCATTAAGCGGTGTCTAAGCATACAGGCTCTTTTGATTTCCTTTAGCAAAGCAACCATGACATAATAGCCTGGTTAACTGCTAAATCTCTATAGAAGACATGAATTTTAGATGTGTATGAAAAGTTCTGATACATGTCACATTCCTCCTTGATGTTTCTTGTTCTTACCTAGAACAGACCAACTGCACCATCACAATCTGCTCCTTACATACAGGTTCGTACCTGTGTGCTTCTTAGTGCTCAATTGGCTAATCTTTGTTGTTTTAAAGCCTGGTTGTGGGGATTTTTGTGCTACTTGAATTAACATATTTTAAATATTTTGGAGTTTGAGAACTTAGTTTGGAACAATTTTCAATTAGTAAACAATTTTCATTTGGTTTATATATGGTTAACTAAGCTGCAGTCAAAAGGGTGCATGTTCTAATTGTTTTCCCCAAAATTAATTCCTTTGTGTGTCAGGATCTCAGAAAAGGGGTGTTGTAATAGTATATTTTTTAAAAAAAACAAACAAGCCAAAGGAAAAGCATGCACTGCTGTTTTGCAGGACAATCGGTTAACTCTTTGATTCTTTTGCCTTTTTGTTGGCTGCCACTTTACTGCTTGCACAGAGAGGTAAATGTGCCCTCTTGCCTATTAGCTGGTGCCTTTTTTTCCCCACTGCCAGCTTGTCGGGCTTATTTAAATAAAACTTCCTGAGCAGACTGGTAAGCTGTCAGTAAAAATCAGCATTTGCTTGGAAGAGAGGCAGTGAGATTTGATTTTAATGCTGCCACCCTGTTCTCTGTGGTAATGGACTTCTGGTAAGCTATTAAAAAAATTAGTTATAAATATGTGATCATAACTGAAATTAGGCAGCTTGGAGAGTGAGGTGAGGATTGGCGATGCAAAGTACTTTGGATAGTAAATCTTAAACAGAAAGGGTAATGGAAAGGGACAGAGAGCCAGTGTCAAAGCTATTGGAAGGTGAAAGGGTCCATTTAAGTCTCTTCTCAAGCATCTGAGGACTAATTTTACCTAATGATCAGGAGGAACAGTTTTTATCATTCCTCACGTTGGAGCACTTTAATTAGGAGCAAGACTAACTTAATTTTCTGTTGCTTTGTAATGGTGTCTGCTTTTTATATTTGTATGAAACACTGGAAACCACCATGAAATTCTCTGTCTACTTTTTATAGTGAAGAATAGTTGCATATATTTGCACAGACCTATACACTGACTAGAAGAGTATACAGAAAGTATACATGCTTTTTGCTTGCTCTTGCTTAATGTTTTTGATGGACCCATGATTACTAGGGTGTAGTGCAGAGTAAACTCTGCCTGTTGTACCTGCGCCTTCTCTTGAAGGACAGCAGTGAGAACATTTAATATGTGAAGTGAAGTTTTAAAGAAGGTCATGTTCCAGTCTATGATACTGGGTATGAAATAGCAGCTTGTTTTGGAGCAGATGGCCTAAGTTAAGGGGTAAGCTTTACTGTTTTGGACATGCCTTTAATTGAATCTGGAGCATTAGGTTTTTTAAACAGGATCTTTGTTAGCAGCCTTTTAAAGTCTAGATAGTACTAGATAGCTTCCATTGAAAACTGGCTAATGCTGGGTTTTGTGCCTTGAAATAATGAGGAAGATGGCACACTCTTTTTAAAATTGCCTCTTTGTGCCTTGGTCCCTCTGCAGAGGGGAATTTTTGCCCATACCTCATTAAAAATAGATGTATCCTTGGGACTTGAAGCTGGAGCTTTCTAACAGGTATTTTTTTCAGTGCCTTGGACAAGTCGAGGAACCACCTGTAACTTTGAAATGGGTGTTGTGTATAATAATACATGTTTGATGTCGGTGTTCAGAATGGGTTTAAGTGAAACTAACAGAAGTGACTGTTAGTCTCGTTTAAGAGATCTGGTATATGGGTACTATTCCTCCTGGAGCAGCTGGAGTCCTTGTATAATGCTGCATCTGCCGCTTTAAAGATAATTATTAGAGGACATTAATAGGTGTCCAGAAGTTGTATTCTGCCCCCCGTCCCCTCCTCCCCCCCAGTCTGGGGAGATTTTAAACCCTGAAGTTATTTCACAGTCTGGTACTTGGTTTATGATAATCCACTTGAGGTGAGAATATTGTGCTGAAGGTGGGATCACTGAATTTTGAGAGGAATTAAGTCTGTGCTATAACACACTGAAGCTTGGTTTCCCTTGTAGTACATCTCATTGAGGTTTCAGGGTCCTCTGGGAACGGTTGTCCTTTAAAAGCCACACTTGTGCTCTCTTAGCTGTGCAGCTGTTGCACAATTCTCACGTACCTCAAATCTGTCAGTGGCAATATCTTTTTGAAGTGTCCAGGCAAAAGGGGATTGGTACTTCTGTGTTAAGCAGGGTGCAATTCAAGGCAAAGTGAGTGTACAGAGCCTTGATAGATGAGCTTCGCTGAAGGTCAATTACTGAAGGATCTGAATGTATTTTTTTTATGTTTTTAATGTTTTGCTCTGTTAGTGTGTGTACCTATTATAGAGGTCTTCTTTAATTGACATTTTTCATGGAACACTAAAATAAAAGCGTTTTAAATTCCATGGCTGAGCACTCTTCTGCTTTTCACTGGACCCTAATAAATGAAAATAAGTGTGTGGGGGGGGGGGGGGGGGCACTGCTGCTTCATGGACAAATTACTTAAAAGTACCTTAGGGCTGCAGGGGCCCTTGGGATTGGAATCTGCATTGCTGGAAGGTAAGTTCCATTTGGTGCGGTTCCTGAAGCTGTCAAGAAGAGAAGATTTTTCAACCTGGTTTTACTCTGAAAATAGATTGCAATAAACCAGTCTGGCAGCTGAGATGCCAAATGCTGGGAATAGATGGCATTGGCTGGTGTAAACAGGTGTAAGACACTGGCCTGCACTGAAGGACAAATGTCCTAGGGAAAGGAGCTAGTTGTGCTCCATGGAGCCCCATCTGTGGCTCTGGATTTAATAGTAGTAGGATACCACCTGTGCCTGATCAGGAGATAATCTAGTCCAGCTCCTGTAGCGAGGCAGGAGACCTATAGATTTACAGCCCCCCTCCCCCTGCCCTTGTAATATTCAAAAATAAAAATTGAAAAAAGGATGTTTGGTCCTGATTTCCAAAATGTCAGTCCAACAAACAAGACTGCAGAGGCTCAGTGGACAGCCTGTTTCACTCCTTTGCTATCCTTGCAGTTAGAAAGTATTTCTTAACATATAATTTTGTTGCAAACACGGCTATCTGCTGCTTGCCCTTCCCTCATGGGATGGGAGTCACAGCAGTAGGAACAACCTGGCAGCATAGATGACTGTTTCAGTTGCCTTCAACTGTTCCTCAGGTCATCCGTGGGCATGTTTCTCCTGGACTCGCGAGTTCACCTGTACTTTCTACATGTGGTAGTCAAAATAGCAGAGTGCTCCAGCTGAAGTGGTGCCTGAGTTGAGTAGAGTGGAATGTGCTCTGCATGCTTCTTGCCCCAGGCTGGGACTTTTGTATTATATTGATTAAAAATGGAGTTGTCTATTACACCGCCCTACAAGGGCTTTTTTGCTTATCGCTGCCTGAGGTAGTTGTGGTCTGTTTTGTACTGATGTATCCTTGCTAAATGTAGCAGTTAGTGCACTTAGCACTTCTCAGTATTGAACTTTGTAGTGCTGATTTCATATCGTCTCTCCTGTGTGTCCATTCCAGCTTTGTCGTCTGATTCTGCACCGCTGGGGCCTCCTCCCACTTTCAGCTGGCTGCGCAGTGTTTGCCATGAAAGCCAATGGGACAGTTCTCCCTCCTCCAAATGTAGCATGTTACACTTAATGATGGCTTGCTTGCATGTATATGGGGCTGTCTGTCTCTGCAGACTGAACAACAGTACCTGGACAAGTTTTTTAAAATGTTAAGCAAGTATGAACTACAAACCAACCTGCTTTGTGGGACTTGCCCGATTTATTTGGACTTGGCCTAAAGCAGTGGGAGTTGTCTGGCCACAGTGACTCCATGGTGAACCACAGCCTGTAAGGCAAAGAAACTTGATCCACCAGTGCAGCAGAATGAGAAACCAGCATCTATAGCTGTCAGGTATGTGTTAGATCTCTATCGTCCAAAAGCTTCCTTTACAACAAAGGCATCCAGCCATTGTAGCAACTTAAAAGTCAGTGCAGTTTAAATGCCCTGCACGTGCACGTAGTCTTGGGACCACTGGACTGAAATCTGGCTCCATTGGGAATAACTGCATGCTGCTATGGCAGCCCCTGCTCCGTTCACGTTTAGTTTAAAACGAGAGGTCAAGGTAATCATTAACATCCTTCAGCATCCAGTCTGAGTAGTTGCCTGCCCTTCAGTGCTATCAGCAATGACTCTCCAGGGAGCTTTAAAGCCAGCGCTCAATAGAAATTGACTGGCATTGTCAAGCGCTTCACTCTGGTGTATGGCTCTAATGAGCTATTGTAGAGAGCGGTAAAGAAATAACTCGGGTGGTTATTTCCTCCTGTTGGCTTTGGAGATAGATTAAAGAAAGGAAATTGAAGGTGGCTGCTTTCCTGGATGTAGTTCTTTCAATTCATATAATGGAAGTAAAATGAAAAGGATAAAGTTGCTGGCACTTTCCAATAGATAATATAGCATGTGTTGCAAAAAGAGAAAGCCTTGCTGGCTGGATCAGTTATGGCCTGGTATGTCCTTCTCATTTCCAAAAGACTCCCCCTCAGGACTGCTGCTTTGTGGAGAAAACAAATGTTGATTAGCATTGCAGGGGCAATCTTATGGAGTTAGACTGGGGCCTGAAGTTCCCGTTTGGTACAAGGTTTTTGCTAATATCAGGACTTACTACAAGATGCAAAGAAAACCCCTATGGACTACACACACTGGGTTTTCAACTATCATCCTGAATTTGAAATGATGATCAATAAGCAAGTACAGACTATATTAAAAAAATAACTAGACAATCAGAGAACCAAGCCTAGCCCAACCCTCCCTCCTAGCTTTCAGACTGCTCCTTATCACACCCA